TGTAAATTAATAGATAGAACATCAACTAATAAAGGATATCATTATATAATAATAACTAACTCATTTAAAAGTAATATGGCAGTTATAGATTATTTAACTAGATATCTTTTATTTAGTAGTAAATATTTAGATTATTGTAATTATAAAGAAATAGTTAAATTATTTGAAAATAGATTAAACCATACACTAGATAATATAGAATTAATTATTAAAATAAAAATTCTATGAATAATAACCGTATAGTCTTTAATTGAAATCATTTAAATATTTTTATACAATTAATTAATAAGATATAGTCCCAACATATATGTAAATATATGAGTATTTACCTTAAATTATATTTATATATAATTTATGAATATATTATAATATAATATATATAACTCATTAGAAGTAGTAAATCAAGATAAAAATAATAAAAAAGGGTTTAACAATGTTATTAGCAGATAGAAACTTTAATACATCATTCTTTGTTGTAGCCGGTGGTGGTGATCTAATCTTATATCAGCATATATTCTATAAAATAATTAATTATTCTTTTATTATATATATATTATTATATAGTAATATTTATTTATGTGATAATAACAATATACTTTATATTAATAACTATTTGATTTAGATTTATTTTATAATGAATATAAAAAATTATTACTAAATAATAAATTACTATCTAAAGATTTTTAATTTGATTTATAGGTTTTGTAGAAGGAGATGGTTCCTTTGTAGTAGGTAAAAATTTATCTATTGTTATAACTCAAAAAGAAAAAGAAATATTAGATATTATAAAAAAAGAATTACAATTAGGTCATGTATTATTACAATCTAAGAAATTAAATTATTATCGTTTAATAATTCAAAAAGAAAGAGAAATATACTTATTATCATTATTATTTAATGGTAATTTAGTATTACTTAGAAGATTATTAAAATTTAATATATTTTTAAATAAATTAAATGAAAAATTATTAAAAAATAATCAACAAATAATAAAACTTAATTTTTATTGTAAATTACTTTCTATAAATAATTCTTGAATTTCCGGATTTACTGATTCAGAAGGTTGTTTTTCTATATCTATATTGAATAATAGTACTAATGGATATAGAATAAGATATATTTTATCTCAAAAATGGGAATATAATAAACTTATTTTAGAAGAAATTTGTAAACAATTTAATATTTATAATAAAAATAATACTTATCTAATTGGTAAAGTTTATCTTCATAGTATAGATAATAATTATGAATTAAGAATTAATGGATTAAAAAATTGTAAATTATTATATAATTATTTTGATAAATATCTATTATTATCTAAAAAAAATATTAGTTATAACAAATGAAAAAATATAATATCTATGATAGAAAAAGGAGATCATTTAGATCTTAATAAACGTAGTATAATTAAAAATTTAGTTAAAAATATTAATATATAATATTAATTAGAATAATTAATAAAAAATTTTATCCATGTTTTGGAATAAAGGGTGAGGTTTAATGTATAAGTTATGAAATTAAATAAAACATATGCTTTAATTATAAATTGATTTTATTTAATAAATATAGTTTTAATACTATATACCTTAACTCTAGTTATAAATAATAATTATTTATAGCAATATTGGTGGTACGGTCAAACATATTATTCTTTATATATAGACCGTCAGTTATATTTTTATATAATTGCTACAGACTGCTTCACCAATGGGTAATATTTATAGCAATATTGCTTAATGTACAGTCGGTTCTTCACAATTATTTTTTTATAATTGTATATAATTTTTTTTTATATAAAATATGTTATAAAGAATTATTAATTAAATTTAATATTAATATTTAACATCAATATTTAATATTGTATAATATAAAATATATTATAATTTTTGAAGAAATGGATTCTTTGGTCAACAAAATATATATTATGGCCCTATAAATATATTAATAATAATAATATATTTATTGAATTTCCCTATATGCTGGAAACTATGATTACATTTATTAAATACTAAAAAATATTTAAATATTATCATAAGTTTAATATTAATTATATTAACCGATATAGTAAAAATTTTAATAAATAAATTTTTAATTAAAAATTATCATAGCAATCAGCAGGTAACGAATAATAATAATAATTTAGTAGGAACCTCAGAGACTACACGGGAAATATTAAATAAAAATATTTCATCTAATAAATTTAATCAATGATTAGCTGGTTTAATAGATGCAGACGGATATTTTGGAATAGTTCAAGGTAAATATACATCTTGTGAAATAACTTTAGGTTTAGAAGATGAAAAAACATTGTATCAAATAAAAAATAAATTTGGTGGTTCTATTAAATTAAGATCAGGTGTTAAAGCAGTAAGATATAGATTACATAATAAATCAGGTATGGTTAAATTAATTAATGCTGTAAATGGTAATATTAGAAATTCTAAAAGATTACTACAATTTTTTAAAGTATGTAATATTTTACAAATAAAACTATTAAATCTTATAAAATTAAATTCAAATAATTCTTGATTTATAGGATTTTTTGATGGAGATGGTACTATAACTTATTCGTTTAAAAATAAAAATCTACAATTAACAATATCTGTATCTAATAAATATTTACAAGATGTTGAAGAATTTAAAAATATATTTGGTGGTAATATTTATTTTGATAAATCAAACCAAGGTAGTTTTAAATGATGTTTACAATCTAAAAAAGATGTTATTAATTGAATAAATAGTTATGTTAAATTAAATCTATCTAGAACAACCAAATTTAATAGATTAATGTTAGTTAAAATATTTTTTGATTTAAAATTATTAAAAGCATATCATAATCTAATAAATACAGCTATATATAAAGCTTGATTAAAATTTGAATTTAAATGAAATAGTAAAAATATTTAATAAAGATATAGTCCAAATAAAAAAAAAGCATCTTGAAGTATATATTTTAATAATGCTAGCATTTGGTATGGTAAGTATGATCATACAATCATATGCTAAAAAACTTATTTTCGGGAAAATAGGAATGGTGTACGCGATGGCCAGCATAGGATTCTTAGGATTCTGTGTATGATCACACCATATGTTTACAGTAGGTTTAGATGCCGATAGTAGAGCTTATTTCTCAGGTGCATCATTAATTATTGCTATACTAACAGGATCTAAAATATTCTCATGATTAGCAACATTATATGGAGGATCTTTACGTTTTACAACACTATTATTATACGCCATTGGATTTATTTTCTTATTCACGGCGGGTGGTGTAACAGGTATAGTATTAGCTAATGCATCTTTAGATATTGCATTCCACGATAAAAAATTAAAAAATAAATTAAATAATATTAAATCAAATAATTTAATAAATGATCTTGAATATATTAAAATATTTTGAGTAGGTTTAATGGATGGTATTGGTAATATTCAAGTAAACCATTTTAATTATAAAAATTTACAATTTAGATTAATTATTAAATTAACATATTTAGAATCTAATAAAAGTATGTTAATAAATATTTCTAAAGTTATAGGAGGTATAGTAGGAGTAGATAAAAAAAGAAATTTGTTTATTGAGTTGTAGATAATAAAAAAAGTATACAAAATATTATAAAGATCTTTGATAAATATCTATTATTAACAACAAGAAAGAATTGTCAATTAATTTTCTTAAAAAAATGCTTATTATTATCTAATAATCTATCATATAATAAAAATTATATAATAAATACTTATTTAACTAATCGTAATAAAAAATATGATATACAACTATTATTAATAAAGCAATTTAATAATAAAAGTTTACTTTCTTATTTCAATCTTTGATTAAGTGGATTTGTAGAAGTAGAAGGTTGTTTTTCTATTAGAAATAATAATAATCATTCATTTTCTATTAATCAAAAATATGATAAATTTTTATTAGAAATGATTAAAGTATATTTTAATATATCTAATAAAATAAAAGAACTAACTCTTAATTCATATTTAATTGAAGTATATAAACATATTTCATTAATTTCTATAATTAAACATTTTGATAATTATCTATTATTAGGTAATAAAAAAGATCAATTAAATAAATTTAAAATTAATATTATTTAATTTTAAGTAAGTGTCGTGTGGTCTTATCACCATGAATATTTAATTTAATTTAATTTAATTTAATATATTCGGTATATTATAAAATAATATGCTAACGGTGAAATCTTATATATTTTACTAATGTATAAAATAATAATATTATATAAATAATAATTTATATGATATATATAAGACAATACCGTGGAAACCAAAGTTAATGATATAATATATTATTAATTAGTAGGATCCGTAGAGACTAAACGTGATAATCAAAAGTTTATTAAGTTAAATAATTAGATAAGTTATAGTCCGATCCACAATGTGAATTGTGTAAATTATTGACTTACTACGTAGTAGCTCAAATAGTGGGCCTTGTTGATATAGATATTTTATATCAATTTGTAATTGACTTTATGCTGGAACTTATGTTGTTTAGTATATATTTACTATATATATTATTTATATGTTATCTTCATTATTTATTAAATAATATAGATGGAATTAAATATTATTTACAATATTTAAATATATATAGTCAAAATAATATATTACTAATTATATTTTATTATAAATATATCAATATAAAATCAGCAGATAACTTAACCTTATATTTTAAGGATCATTTTTATAAATGATTAGGTGTCTCAGAGACTAAACGTCAATTATTTATATTACTTACTTATTTAATTATTATATTTAATCTTTTTATAAAATATTTTAGTTTTTTATTAATAATTTATTCTTTATTAATACAAATATTTTAATACTTAAACTAAAAAAAATAATTAATATTCAAGAAGTTAATGATAATAAATTTTGAGAATATTTAGCTGGTGTTATAGATGGAGGTGGTAATTTTGATTTAAGAATATTAAATAATAAATTAACATTAAAATCTATAAAAATAAAATTACATAATAGAGATTTACGTATATTAACTTATATTCAAAATACTTTACATATCGGAAGAATTAGAAAAATTAATAATAAACTATATTCAATATATGTTATTTCAACATTACTAGAAATGACTTATATTATTAATAATATTAATGGTTTAATAAGATTGAAAAATGAAAGTTTTTTAAAAGCATGTAATTATTTACAAATAAAACTTATTAAACTTAATTATATAATTATTAAATTAAGTCTATATTTAGCTGGTTTAATTGATACCCATGGTAGTATTATATTTAATTTTACAAGTAATAGAATTGAATGTGTATTAGAAGTTAAATATAACAATATTCTTTTAAATTTAGATTATGTAATTCTTAATTGTAAACTATCAGTTAGTTTTAAAAATAAAAATATTAAAAATAATAATAATATAACATTTAAATATCAAAATGTAAATAGTATGATGCAAATATATGATTATTTTATGATAAATAGATTATATTCTGATATGAAATTTTATCGTGTATCTAAAATTAAATATTTTTTAGATATTAGAAAATATAATAAATGTCTTAAAAATTCTCTAGAATATCATATATATAAATCATTTATATTAGATTTTATTAAATATGAAAATCTTTTATGGTACAAAATACTATTTGTAAGTAAATTATAAATAAAGATATAGTCCAACATATAATATATAATAGATATATATATTATAATAAGCACTTCCACTATGTATTAAGTTTAGGTGCAGTATTCGCCGTATTTGGTGGATATTACTTCTGATCACTAAAAATCTTAGGATTATATTATAATGAGAAATTAGCGCAAATTCAATTCTGAACATTATTTGTCGGAGCTAACGTAACCTTCTTGCTACAACATTTCTTAGGATTACAAGGTATGCTTAGAAGATATCTAAACTATCTAGATGCATTCTATGGTTGAAACTTAGTTTCATCATTTGGATCATTAATCTCAACAGTATCTACTGTATTATTCTTCTATATTATTTATGATCAATTAGTAAATGGTATAGATAACAAATATAATAATAAAGCAGTTGTTAATATTTATGCACTAGATTTTATTGAGTCAAATGCTATATTTAATACATATAACTCAAATAGAACAGCTAGCTTAGAATGAGCTTCTGATAATCTAGCACTATTACATACATATAATACTCTTGTAATACAATCTTAATTTAATTTTGTATTATATTATTATATAAATTTAATTTTACTTTATTTTATATATAAGCATTTAATTTAATTAAATAAATTAAATGTAAGACAAATTAATATGTTAATAATTGGTTTATTATCATTAGTATTAATAAGTTCAAATAATAAATTTACTATAAAAGAGTATAAAAATATAATTCATATTAGTATTTTAGTAATATTATATATGATAGTTATATTAAATAATAGTACATCATTAACTTTAATTAATAATGGTATATTAATATTTAATAATACATTCTTATTAACAACATATAATGTTATAATTAAAAATTTAATTTTAATTTTAAGTATTATTTATTTAATAATATTAGGTACTTATAGTAATTATTATGTTAAAACAGTTTATATTAAAGAATTTATTTTATTAATAATTTTTAATATTTTATCTGTATTCTTATTTATTGATTCTATTAATAGTTTAATTATATTTATTGCTATTGAATTACAAAGTTATTCATTATATTTAATTACTGCAACATATTATAAAAATGAATCTTCTATAGGTATCTATAGTTCTAAAAATGGTTTAATTTATTTTTTAATTGGTAGTTTAGCTTCTATATTAATTTTATTTGGTTTAACGATTATTTATAGTGAAACAGGTTTAATTAATTTAATAGATATTAATTATTATATTAATAGTTTAGATATAACAAATAACAATAGTAATTATTTAATTGGATTTATATTAATATTTATAGGGTTATTTTTTAAAATAGGTTTAGCACTATTACATAATTGATTATTAAATATTTATAGTAATGTACTTACATTAGTTACATTATGAATAAGTATAATACTTAAAATTAGTATTTTAACATTTATATTAACATTAAATTATATATTTAGTAATATATTTATTAATGATTTATTATTAAATCTATTCTTTCAATTATTTATATTATTATCTATGATTATTGGTGGTTTAGGTGGTTTACTACAATTTAGTATTAAACGTATATTAGTTTATAGTGGTTTAACTAATAGTGGATTTATATTATTTAGTATATGAAGTAATAATCAATATTCTATATTTAGTTATTTATTTTATATAATACAATATAGTTTAACACATTTTACTATATTTATGATTATTATATTTATAATTATGTATTATAATAATTGATTAATATTTAAAAGAAATAATACAAATTATTTAAAAAATAATAATAATTTTACACATAATATATATTTAAGTGATATAATAAATTTATTATCTTATAATAAACTATTATCTATTGCATTTATGATATGTTTAGCATCATTTATAGGATTACTTCTATTATTAGGTTTTTATGGTAAATATTATATATTAATAAGTGGTTTAGTGAGTGGTTATTGATTTACTTCATTAGTATTAATTATTGTAAGTATGGTAACAGCTTATTATTATGGATATATAATAAAATCATTATTTACTAATGAGATAACTAATAATAATAATATAAATATATATAAAATTAATAATAATAATATAAGTTATGTATATAGTTATATAATAAGTTTATTAAGTATAATAATATTATTCCTATTATTATATTTAGATATTTATCAAAATGGTATAGTTATAATAAACTATTTTAATATAGTATAAATATGTTTAATATAAGTTATTTAATATATGCAGTATTAATACTAGTAGTTGCATTATTATTATTTGTTGTAAATAAATATTTAAGTTTAAAAAATGTATATAATGATAAAGTATCACTATTTGAATGTGGTTTATCAAGTTTTAATCAAACTAGATCATCATATCTAGTAGCCTTTATATTAATTGCTATTTTATTCTTACTTTTTGATTTAGAAATTAGTAGTTTATTACTATATAGTTTAGTTTTATATTTAACTAATTCTTATGGTTTAACTATAGTTATCTTATTTACAATAATTTTAATATTTGGTTTCTGTTATGAATTTAATACAAATGCTTTAAAAATTAAAAAAACACATGTTAAAAGTTTAAATAAAAATAATTTATTTAATTCTATTTATAATAATAATAATAATAATTTTTATAAATAATTAATTTTATTCTTAATTTATTTGTTTTTATAATTAATTTAATTTTACTAAAAGTAATATAATTAGATAATGTTCAAGGTGATAAGATTGATTGCAAATCGATTGATATGAGTTCGAATCTCATCATTATCTAAAT